TTTAAAAACCCCCCCCCCCCCCCCCCCCCCCCCCCCATTTCATGTGGGCGTATACAAATCCTTTAAAGGGGCAGTATGCAAGATATTCATAACCATTTTTTTTTCTTTATGACGTCCAATAATTAAATGGTACGTTAACGTCATAGAACTAATCAATATATAATAACTCTTTAGTCTACGCCTACACATCAATATTTTTTATATACTGCAGTAAGTTTCTAGTAACTTATTATAGGTGGTAACAGTTCTTATAAACATGGCTTAATATGTAAATCAATAGCGTCCGCACAGATTTCTTTTTCTAATCTGACAAGCTGTTCCACACATGATTGGATTTTCTTACTCTGATTTCTACGTGGAAGAATGTGAGGACACTTTACAAATTGACAAATACATAAATTCTTAACTAGGCCTACAACAAAACACAAATATTTTCTCTATTAAGCACAATGGATATGAGTGTTGTTCTCAGTCAGATTTTATTATTTTTGTACACAGTAATAGATATAGGCCTTTCAGATGAAAATGAACAACCAATTAGGAAAGGAGATGTTATGTCAGCCAGAATAGAGGTAAGAACAAGAATAATGGGCTTGTGAATGTGTAGGGGGGGGGGGGGGGGAGTTTTCGAATTCTAAATCAGTGCTGTATCAACTGAAAGTGCCCAATTACTTTCCTGAATTGGACTCACGAATTTGTGAGTATTGTTGTCATGATTAACGTATTATTACACTGATGACGCCTGGGAATTTCGACAATTTAAACTGTTACAAAATATATTTGTTGAATTGCAAGGAAAACTTAGTCTACTACGTCGTATTTGAATTTTGAGATACAATACAAATAACTAACACGGAAAGTGTCTATTGGCATGACGCCGTTTTTGTCTATCAGAGCTAATGGATTTAGGCTACTTTTGACCATGGAACAGCCCTATGGAAATCTTCTGATATTTATTTATAACTTTGATGTTTTATTTCAGAGTTGTTATGGTTGTAAAGTGAGACGATTACCAGAAGTTCGACGATTTCTTTATAATGATCTTCCATTTTTGTATCCTTACACACGTTAGAATTATTGAATTAACATTAGAGATGTCTTCACGATGTAACGAATTTTATGCTCTTATTCGAGAGCCCATAGATACTGTCATTGAAATTCTGCCTGAGTCAATATCATAATGGACATGTTCTGCTAGGCCTATAAGAAACTGTTTCAAATTGAAAGGCGACGGGTACGATATGAATTATTAAAATTAAATCATCAATGGAAGTAAAATCATAAAAGCCTATCGCCTATCTAATGCAACTTTATTTCAGTTCAGTTTTGTCGGAGGAAGGTTCAGTGCATCTTGAAACGATTACCATCATATTTTTTATTGCCAGAAATGTAGCCTTACAGTAATAAGACCTTCATACATTTCTTTTTCAACAAAGATGAAAAATTGTATAGTCTTGTTGGTTTGTTGATCTTAACTCCTACTTTAGTCATAATGTTCACTTAGAAGAAGTACACGGTGCTACTCCTGAATTACTATTACTGAATAAAGATGGTCAAATCTTAGAGGTAAGTCATCCATCGGTTACGAATTTTGGCGCCAAACTACTGCTACATGATGTGACGTCGTAGAGAGGGCGAGATAGTGGAATAATTATTTATTTTAATACAGTGGGAATTCCAAGGATATAGGCTATAATTACTGATAAAGTCTAAAACCTTAACATTTCTCATAACATATTTCATCTTACAGTATAGGGCCAGGAAAAATTTCGAAACACACAAGTAGCTGTACTTAAGCTTTCCCCGAAATCTAGATGGCCACCATTTTCCAATTTTTTTTCGTTGTCATGGACCACCACCATTCTATCTAATATTATGCTTCTTTTACTGAAGATTGAAAGGGGCTGCAAAGACTGAAAACTCTGTAATAGAAACTGCCTTTATTGGACTTGATGGTGTCAAAATAAATAGATTGTCATATAATTGATATTAACAGCAGATGCAACTCTCTAAAAACTATTCTATGTCTATTTTCAGCGTATAGATCTGTCAAAATTAAACCAGAAAGAATGCAATATGTTGTTGATTAAGAAAGGATTTTATAAAAAGAAAAGTGTTGTCAGTGAAGTCCCAGACGAATATAAAACAGGACCTTACGGTATCAGAAAAAATCCTAAATTTCATATCGATATTGATGACGATCAAGACATTTATTTTGGACAGGCTGCTGATCATCGCCGAAAAGAGGAATTATAATCATAAGACAATTTGAATGAACGATACTGCGAGTTAATTTGTATGGCCTAACGACCAAATCTATTCCTCTTTTTGTATATAAAATCTGATTAAAATACAGTGGCGTTTTATTATTCTTACTTACTTGGTGACAAAGAGAATATGGTGATTCAAAAGAAAGGTATTTTCATAAATAAAATAATAAAACAGCTATGGCGCTCATGGGCCACCATAATGGTGTCCTAAATCTCTTTTCTAAATTACATAAATTTCTTATTGAGTTCTTGACAATTCCGAAATTTGAGCCTTCAAATCCATGTATGTCTAGAATTATCCATGTTTAAAAGTTAAAGTTTAAAGAGACGACTCATCATTTTGAGAGATAAAAAAGACATTTATCGTAATTGTGAGTAAAATTCCTAGTTTGAAGTATTTTTTAAGGAATTATGCGATTTTCGTAATTTCTAGTACTTTTGAAGACTATTTACATATATTCAAGACCCAAATCAACCCCCCGAATATTTCCCTTTAACTATATTTAACAGTCCAAGCGATGAGTGCGCGTCTGTTTCCTGTTTGCCCGAATTCAACATTGGTTTAATTTGTGGTGCCCAATTCCAATTTTTTTTTTATGTTCAACAATTTAGAAACTTAGAATTTCTTTTATTTATATAGTGTAATCAATTTGGTTTTCTATTAATGTGATGGAAGGGAGAAGTCATAGTTTTTTTTTAACTCCATTTGGTTACACATTTCTCAAAACAGTCCGCTATTCAACTATTCATTACGAGTATCATATAGATATGGCAAAATATGCTCCATCACTTTGAAAATTCTCTCATTTTCATCAATTACTCTCTGTGCCAGTGCCTTTTGTTCCACCACCTGGGATATCTCAGTCGGTAGCGAGTTGGATTGGCGTCTGCTAGGCGATTAAATGCCGTGAGTTTGAATCCCCCTCAAGGTAAGAAATATTCTGATGCCTGTGTCAGTGCTTCCGAGAGTCGACCCACTGTCGGCTCTCACCTCCTAATCTTTACGAGTTCTGATCAGTGCTGATTACAGGCCTAATGTAAAACCACAGCAATCAAAAACATGCCGATTCAAATTTTCTATTTTTTTTATCAACGTCTGATATCTATGAACTTTCAACTACATCTAATGGTTTCTATCTTATCTATACGACTGATAATTGACCCTTTTAAAATCATCGTCTTGTTCAATAATGGATTTTTTTCTGAAGTTATTCGTTTTAGGTAAGCGATTCGAACGAATGAGGGGTATGTTTCATGATCTGGACGAAAAAGAAATTGAGATCAAAAAGTACTAGGATTAGACTTTTTGGTTTAAATTTTTGCATGTGTATGGACTCTCCATATAATGGACCATAAAAAAAATCCATTTAGGATC